GGTGCGTGGAGCGGCTGGGCCTATCTTGGGGCGGGCCAGGCCTGCGGTACTGAGAGGACTGGGCTCTGCCGTCTTGTGGCTGTGGGCACCTCCATTTTTGAGAGTGTGACAGTCAGTTAGCATAATCCCTCCTTATTGGCTGTGAGTGCTGCCATCTTTGAGGGTGGGGCAGTCAGTTAGCATATTCCCTCCTTATTGGCCGTGGGCTCCACCATCTTTGTGATGGTGTGAAGGTCAATTAGCATATTCCTTCTTTATTAGGTAGGATTACCACAACTTTGCCAGTGTATTAGTGCTACTCCAGTCTCTCTAACTTCTTTTTTTAAAAATTTTTTTTTCTTTTATTGATTTTTCACAGAGAGAAGAGAGAGTGATAGAGAGTTAGAAACATTAATGAGAGAGAATCATCGATCAGCTGCCTCCTGCACACCCCCTACTGGGGATGTGCCCGCAACCAAGGCACATGCCCTTGACCGGAATCGAACCGGGGACCTTCCTCAGGCCGATGCTCTCCACTGAGACAAACCGGTTTTGGCCAGTCTCTCTTAACTTCTAAATGTTTTTTTGTTTTGTTTTGTTTTTACCTTCCAGAATTTTTAATTTCTTACTGGCTTGTTAAGAACTACTAAGTAGTATCTTTTTTCCATTCTTATCTTTCTCACACTTTACTGCCTGTCTTCTAAATACATAGTCTTTTTATGATTTGGATGAAACATATAATAATAGTTACTAGAATCTGATGGACTGTTTCAAAACATGTGTGAATTGTTATGGAAGCAGATGATTTATCCTAGGCACTACTGTAGTGGGCAAAGTATTATATATTTATGTACTTATATTTATGTGTTAATTTTCATTTAATATATGTAAAACACATACTACATTTATCTTTTCTTTTTTCTTTTTTTTTGTAAGAGAACATTTATTGGGTAAATTATAGAGGTAGAAAAAGAAATTCCTAGAAGAAATGGGCTTAGGAAATGCATTATGGAGGTAAAGGAAGGGCCCTTGGAGCTTGAGAGTGAGGGAGCTTTGGGTAAGAGGCCATGGGGGTGGGGGAGTGGAAGGGTGGGAATAGACAGGGGCGTGCTCCCAGGAGGGAGAGTACACAGGAAATCCTTCCTAAGGGTTTAAGGGCGGGGCCTTAGGGGAGGGCGTCCGGAAGATCTCAGTGGAATAGTCAGCAGCTTTCCAGGTGTGTCTTTTCAGGGTAGTGGACTCCACTGATTGACTGGCTGACACCAGGGCCATTATTCAGTGCAGCTAGTCCTGACATTAGTAGTGGCTGGATTTTCTATCTTTTGATTTTTATTGGAATACCAAAAGTACTGATTTTAAATCATTTGATTATAGAGTGTTTAATACTCTAGCCTTAATTAAAATTGAGTACCTAGTGCCATTTATGTATCAAAAGCAAAGAAACTCTTATGTGCATTTATAAATGCTAATGTAGAGGTAGATTTACACTTTCTGCAAAACCAGTGTGGACCTCAGTTCATGAGAAAAATGCTGTCTATGGCATAACATATTTCTTAGTATAGAAAGGTCTTGGCTATATGAATCCTGGGAGTGATTTTCCCCCCCCTCATATTGTCTACTTTCCTTGATCTTTGAATACAAATTATGGTATTTTTAAAATGTATAAGTACTACCAGCAAAAGGATAGAAATGGTATTTAAAGAACAGTCATAAACGGCAAAACAGCAACACCACTTGACAGGAATCTCTAATCTTTGCCCTAAGGTGTTGAGATTAACCCAATTTGTAAAAAAGCCTTTCCTTGTTTAGAAACTAATGACACCAGTTAAGTTATACCAACCTAATTTTAGAAAGATAAATTATGAATGTTGGAATGAAAACAAAGCAGAAAAATTAGCCAACATTGGCAACATTATAGAAATCAATTTAAATTTGCATCAAGCCAGAAACTGTTTGTGAATGATGATGCTTCTGTGTACTTTTCTATAACTGTAATGAGAAAGAATTATATTTACTTGATTAAGGACTGGCCTTGCTAATTGTGAAACTAGGATAAAAAAAAAAAAAGTCTTTTTACTATAAGTTTCAGATACCTGTATTCATATCTGCCTATATCCCTTGCACAATACTCTACCTTTTTAAAAGAATGTCTTTTGTCCATTGCTGTAGTCTAGGGGTGTCGAACTCAATCAGAGAAGGGGCCAAAATCTAAAATCCAGCCTAAATTGCGGGCCGAATGGTTTACTGAACAGTCATAAACTGTCATTGTGATGGAAACGCAGCGGAGTGCAGTGATGACAGCGCGGTGCGGGCCACATTGCAAGGCCTGGCGGGACGGATTTGGCCCGCGGGCCTTGTGTTTGACACATGTGCTGTAGTCAGTTGAAAGTGATGCAAATTGAGTATAGCTGTAACTTACACAATTGTAGCAAAATATACTAATGCCTTAAGTACAGTGTTTCCCAAACTTCTCTCATGATGAGAACCACCTGGTGGAGTTGTTAAAATACAGATTCTTGAATCCCAACTAAGAAGTGCTAAACTAGAACTAACTCTGTCTTAAAGCACTAGTTAAGTATACAATTTTACCTATATGTTCCCAAAAATTCTAGTTTAGCACTTCTTAGTTGGGATTCAGGAATCTGTATTTTAACAACTCCACTGGGTGGTTCTCATCATGAGAGAAGTTTGGGAAACATTGCCTTAGTATATCATTATTAAAAAAAAATAAATCACTGAATGTGTATCTGTTTCTTATTGCTGCTATAACAAATTACCACAATTTTAGTGGCTTAAAATAACACAGATGTATTATCTTACACTTGTAGATGTCAAAACTTTAAAATCAAGGTCTGGCAGAGCTGTGTTCCTTCTAGAAGCTGTAGGGGAGTGCAATAGACAGAATGTTTGTGTCCTGCCGAAATTTATATGTGGAACTCTACTCCCAAAGGTGATGGTATTAGTTAATGTCGACTTTGGGAGGTGATTAGGTTATGAAGGCGGAGCCCTCATAAGTGGGATTAGTGCCCTTATGAAAGAGCCTAGAGAGTGGTCTCTCTTCCCTTTCACCATGTGAGGACACAGCGGCCATCTGTGAACCAGGAAGCAGGTCTCCACCAGATGTCAAACCTACTATTATATAATATAACCTTGATCTTGGACTTTCCAACCACCAGAACTGTGAGGAGTAAATGTTTATTGTTTAAACCACCTAGACTATGGTATTTTTGTTATAGCAGCGAACTGACCACACAGGTAAAGCCAGTTGATAATGATTTTCTTACCTTTTCCAACTTCTAGCAACAGCCTGCATTCCTTGGCTCCTGGCCTTTAGCCAGCAAACCCGCTGTTCTAACCTTAGTACCTGTTATCACCTTCCTTTCTCTGACTTTCTTACTTCTGTTTTCCATATCTTTGTGAATACATTAAGCCCACTCAGATAATCCAGAATCCTTCCATCTCAAGAACCTTAATTTTACCACATCTGCAAATATCCTTCTGCCATGTAGATCTTTATTGTTAAATCTCAATTATTGGGAATGTGCTCTAATTGTTTAAATATAGATGTGAGACATGGAACTGACTGGACTCAAATCCAGTAGAGGTTCTGGAATACGATTTTTTTTTTTTTAAGTTACTGATAAGTAGAGGTTCTGGAAAGTGATTTTTTTTTAAAAAAAGTTACTGATTAGTAATTGCTCTGGGGTTATCACCACAACATCAAGATGAAAAAAAATTTAGTTTTATGTCTCAGTAGATCACCTTGCCTCTCATTCCACTCTTCTTTTCTTTTTTTTTTTTTTTTTTAATATATTTTATTGATTTTTTACAGAGAGGAAGGGAGAGAGATAGAGAGCTAGAAACATTGATGAAAGAGAAACATCAACCAGCTGCCTCCTGCACATCCCCCACCGGGGATGTGCCTGCAACCAACGTACATGCCCCTGACCGGAATCGAACCCGGGACCCTTCAGTCCGCAGACCGACGCTCTACCACTGAGCCAAACCGGTTGTTTCGGCTCACTCTACTCTTCTTATTGAGGCTATCATGAACTTTCTTTAAAAACAAAAGATTTTTTGATTTGAGAGAAATAGAAACATCGATGAGAGAGAAACATCAACATCAATGGGTTCTTCCTGACGGGGAGCCGAAATGGCAACCTCATGGTGCATGGGTTAAAGCTCAACCACTAAGCCACACCAGCCGACCCTATCATGAACTTTCTTTACTTTAAAACATCCTGATTTCCTATCCATGCTCCCATCCTGTTTCCCATGAAGAGCTGAACCCCATCTTTTAAAAAACTAACTTCTCCATTTGTAATCTGAAACCTGGTACTGCTCTTCTCCTGGATCTGCATTTATAAATAATTGTAAGTCTTCTCTTTCAAACAAACAAACAAACAAAGTCTTCTCTTTCAAACAAACAAACAAACAAACAAACAGATAGATAGATAGATAAATATTTCTCCCTATCTTTTCCCTGAAGCTACTCTTTCATCTAGTAAAGACTTAATTTCTTTTTAAATTTCTGCCTCCCTTTAAATAGGCATTCTCTGAGAGTCTGTCTTTGGTCCACTTTTTTCTTTTCTTGCTCTTTTCCTAGGAAATCCTACTTAGTCCCATGACTCCAACTATCACTGAGTCCTAATTTATTTTTTTTTCCCCTTGAAGGTCAGCTGCTCCGTCCCACCTCCCCGTACAAACCACTCAATATAGTAAAAGTAAACCCATTTTTTCATCATGTTCTATCCTTATCCTCCTATCCTTAAAAGATCCAGAGTGACCAAATCAAGTACACTCTTGTCTTTCCCATGTTGATTGCTTTGATTACCATTTTCCTAGTCACCCAGGGATATGTTAGAGAGAATAGTTGTGAGGCTATAAAACATCCAGAGTTATTGCGATCTGAGTCAGGATTGCAAAAAACTTTAAAGTATGTGAGCTTCCTTGCCCTCAAACGCCGTCGCTTGCTTTTAATGTGCCTAACCGATCTAATGCACTTTCCTGATTGCACGCAGGTCTGCGATTAAGGCGCTGCGTCCTGGAGGGTTACTTGTGTACTCTACATGCACGCTTTCCAAAGCGGAAAACCAGGATGTGATCAGTGACGTTTTAAACACCTGCCGCGGCGTCCTGCCTGTGAACATAGAGGAGATGGCAGGGACTTGCTCCCGAGACTTCGCGTTTGCTCCCACTGGCCAGGAGTGTGGGCTCTTGGTGATCCCAGAAAAGGGCAGAGCGTGGGGCCCGATGTACGTAGCCAAGTTGAAAAAATCATGGACTGTGTGAACTTGGTGATGTGCATTTTGGAAACTATGTCAATGTACTATTGTATTTATTTTTCTGGGCGCTCTACATGTGAACATTTAAGCAATTATGGAGTCAGTTTCCTTGGATCTGTTTTGGAATCCTACTTAGTACTCTAGCATCTTAGCGTTTAGGCTTGAGAATTTTCCAGGTGTGTATATTTTTCCTAGAAATACATCCACAGCAGTGATTTAAGGAGGTGCAGATGGTGTTTATTCTGTATAATGAAATTGCTTTTACTTGGCATTTTGTAGTTAAATTAATCCACGTGGTTTTGTGCATAGGATGTTTAGAAGTATATTCTATCCATGAGTTGGTACTTTGAACCTTCAAAAATGAACATTTGCTGTCCCTTTTATAATTTTTCTCCTTATCAAATATACAGATTCTTTGAGAGTTTTCTTCCCCCTCCTTTTTTAAGAAGTTATTGGTATTCTAAGACTAACTTCTTAAGCAGCTCTATTTCTAGTTCTACCAAAATATGTTTCCTACTTAAGTTGTTTTTTTGTTAAGGACTGTCTCCTGTTTACTGCAAAGGTCAGTGACTACTGACACCAGCTTTATTTCTCCACGTTTTTGTATTCACAAATACAAATTGAAAGGGGGAATTACGTTGAAAGGCCATTAGAAGAGCAGATTCACATGCACAAGTTTGACTTTTGACATTCAGCTTGTAGAATAATGGAGTCTATCCGGCAGACTATAAAGCAAGTGCTTGAAACAAAACCAGGATGATTAATAACTGCAATAACTGAACTATATTTGGAGAGTTTTGTTACATAATTGCAGTTATAATGAGCACCACAGAATCTGATTATCTTAAAGTTGCAATCTGGAGGGACTTTTATTTCACTCTGTTATGAAATGTTATACGAGAGTATGATGTCACATGTTAATGCACAAGAGGGAGACGTGTAATGAGAGTGGATTATACTATTACCAAAACCCAATACATTTACCAAAGCGGCTCCCTGTTTATATATATCTTGGGAGTGTTGTACACATTTCTGTAGATGTGCTTAAGAGTTTTAGTTTCGGGGTGGATCATGTGTTTTCTCTAGAAATTGCTTCACTGAGAGCCCAAACATATTTTTCCAAGTGTTAGGAAAAAGTATTCACTCTTCAAGAGATTACATCATTTTGTAAATATGCATTAAAAAACACCTCTGACTATATAAATATAAAATTCTTCCAAAGTTGAATCTTTTTGAATTGCTTATTCTATTCTGTTCATGAAAATAGACTATTTACCCATTAACATTTTTTATTTTGCAAGCATATATTGTATAACTGGGCTACTGTAACTGGGAAGTCCGAGGAAGAATGTTTATTCTATACCTTCACTCCATAACCTTTTTATCTTTTTAGAATGCTTCATGAATTTGCATGTCATCCTTGTACAGAGGCCATGCTAATCTTCTCTGTATGGTCTCAGTTTTAGTAGATGGGCTGCTGAAGTGAGCGCAACCATTTTTTTCTTTATATCTATTCAATATGTTTAAAGAAAAGCTGGATCCCTTAGACTCAATCAGATATACTGGGTTAATAAAGAAGATTAGTAATAATGGGAAAATGTTTGTATGTGTGTGCTTATTAATTTTTTTCAATATGAAATCCTGTCTTTAGATACTATAGGTTTAAAAAGTGCATTCATTCTGAGTAGGTTAATCACAAAGTAAAATTTCACAGTGCACTTTATTGAATGCCATTATTTCACCAAAACAATGCCATGAAGCCTATTCTGAGTACTCAGTGTGCCTTTGGATTAGACCATCCTATGATTACCTCAAAAATGCAACTACATATGTGTATACAAATATCTCACTTTATTATTAACAATCATTATAGTGAGACAGCTGACATATATCTATTGACCACTAAATATTTGATTAAATATATATAACTTAAAAAAAGATAGATAGCTTTTTTGATCTTTTAAACAGTCTCAGGAGTGATCATTGTACCTACCTTTTGTAGATGAGAAAACCAAGCTCAGTGCCATTCTTGGGCCCAAGATTAAAACTCGCTCCAAAGGCCAAGCCCTTGTCCCTCTGCACTCTGCTGACTCACAAGATATAGGTTGTAAGAACCCTCAGGTTTTACCCACTGGCTTTACCCTTGTTCTCCATTGCTCAGTCTTCTAAAGCAATTCCCTATCCACAGGGCATCTAAGGGCTAGTCAATATTTGTGTTTTTCTTTTTACCCCAAATATTTCAGGGTGTGTTCTAAAGAAGTACTTCTTGTGATTGTCATACCCAGAAATATCCCAAGGACATACTCTGTACCTTCCTTTTCTTTGCATATGCTGAACTGAAGAACAGAAATTTGGAGCAGCCTTGCAATGTCAATTGAAAAGCAAGGAGTAATTGATATTACTTTCTGTGGCATTGAGTTACTTTCAAAATAGCTTTATAAAAATTTAGGTTGCTTACCAACACATTAACTTCTCTCTGCCATCAGCACGCTGAACAGCCACTAGTTTCAGAAATAGACTATGAATATATGTAATGCATTTAAATGGTGTGTACTGAATTTTTAAAGCATCAGATACTATCTGTGGTTTGGAATCAAGGCAGTCGAAGTCCTTTTATCCAATTATATATATCCATCTAGCCTTATGTTCAAGATTGCATGTTATCCCCTTAGCGGTATTGTGAAAAATATCCTTTTATACAGGGTGAGTAGACATAAAATAATAGTGACCAGACCACTGGCTATGCAACTAAATAAAATTATCACAAATCTAATAGGCCCTTATCCACCTAGGCTGTATCTTGGAAGATAAGCATCATATAATCTGCATAGGCTTATGTAACTCATCTGGAAAATAAAAAAAATTGGAACCAAAGCAACATTTATTAGATACCTGGAAGCCTTTGATGCAATTGAATGGGCTACTTGTATTATGTGCTGGGTAAATTTGACTTTGGGGACAAATTTAACAGCACAATTTATTTTCAACCCATTTATATGGTTCAAATCAATGGTTTATAGTCTCCCTTTCCTTGCCTTATTATTGCATTGTGGAGGGAAGAAAAGATGGTGCCCATGAATGATGCAACTCTTCAGGCTGATATTGAGCTATAATATCACCATGGGTATCTGAACGGTATTCAGGCGAAGTTCATAAGTTCACTAATATCTGCTGATAATCTACTTTTTGTTTCAAAAGCCCACACAACATCTGTCCTGAAAACACTAAAAGTAATGTCATAATTTGAAGTGGCTTCAAGCTACAAAGTCATTGGGTGTGAATCAGAAATACTATTTTTACAAATGGATGTTTTCATATTTTTCAAATAAATACCCAGTAGAGGAATTGCTAGATCATATGGTAGCTATATTTTTTTAATTTTTAAAGGAACTTCTGTTTTCCATACTGTTTGAAACTTTATACTGTAGTTCCAAACTTCATACTGTTTTCCATAGTGGCTGTATCAATTTACATTGTTATGCCTGAAATTTATTAACCACTAGAGGCCTGGTGCACAAAAATAGTGCACCCTCTCCAATCTGGGAGCCCTCTCACAATTTTGGACTGCTGGCTCCTAATTGCTCACCTGCCTGCCTGCCTGGTCATCCCTAACTGGGCCCCCCCTGCTGTCCTGGTCATCCCAAACTGCCCCCCTCTGCTGGCCTGGTTGTCCCTAACTGCCCTCCCTGCTGGCCTGGTTGCCCCTCACAGCCCTCCTCTCCCACCAGCCTGGTCACCCCATGAAGCCTGCTCGTTCAGTCATTTGGTAGTCCCTCACTAACCCCCCTGCCAGCTTGGTTGTAGGCAGCCATCTTATGAGAACAGGAGGGTTAATTTGCATATTACTTCTTTATTATATAGGGTGTTACTTCAATAAATTTTTAAAAAGAAATACTATCTTTATAGAATAGTTTCTATTCATATTATTGCATGACATTTGGGATTTTCATTAGGAAATGCTTAAATAATAGAGTAAAAAAAAAAAAGTAAAAATTGACCTGTAATTTAGTAGTAAGGTTTTTAAGGTTTCATTAAATCTAGGGAGGAAGAAAGCCTGGTAGAGTGTATACTTTATTTTTAAAAATATTTATTGTTGAAAGTATTATATATGCCCTCTCTTTTCCCCATTTACCCATTGTAGCCCACCTCCACCCCTTGCACCAGATTTTCACCATCCCATTGTTTGTGTCCATGCATTATGCATATAAGTTCACTGATTTCTTCCCATCCACCCACTCACACCTCATCACCTGCCCTCCTCCCCCCACCTTCCCTCTGAGACTAGAGTATATACCTCCTTAAAATTTAATTATCTCAATCAAATATTAATTCCATATCTTTCTGTAACTTTTCATAAATGAAGCAATTTCCTCAATCATGTGAGACTATACAGTCATGTTGATATTGTGCAAAAGCATATGCTACCTTAGGAAAAGGACTATTTTCCTCACTGGAAGCTATTTGATAGAATACGTCATGACTAAATTAAGCTTGCTATGGCTTGTCAAAAGGAACTTTCTGCTGTATATTGCTGTGGAAGAGCCTATTATACACAAATAACAATTCAACCTAGCAGATTCAACAAAGACTAAAAATGTATAGCCTATTGAAAAATCAAAAACAGGACTATAGCTCTTAGCTATTCCCTAGTTTTTAAAAATAAGTAGGAGTAAAATTATATATATTAACAAGAATGTATAAATGTAAGAGATTAGCATTGGTGACAGGAGAAAAGAGGGACCAGGCTTATTCCAGTTTATAATTAAGTAATAGAGAGACTAGTGGCCCAGTGCATGAAATTCGTGCATGGGGGTGGTATCCCTCAGCCTGGCCTGCACCCTCTCCAATCTGGAACATCCCTCTCAAAATCTGGGACCACTGGCTCCTAACCACTCACCTACCTGCCTGCCTGATCACCCCTAACCACTTTGCCTGCTGGCCTGCTCATCCCCAACTGCCTCCCTCCCTGCTGGCCTTCTCGCCCCCAATTACCCCCTTTGCCAGCCTGATCACCCTCAACTACCCTCCCCTCCTTGTCTGATTGCCCCTAACCACCTCTGCTTGGCCCCACCTCCATGGCTTTGTCCTAAAGGTTGTCCAGAAGGTCTCCCGGTCTAGTTAGCATACTGCCCTTTTATTATCATAGATTCCTCATTTACTCACCTAAACAAGATGTTAACAGCTTTCCAAAACGGTAGACCTTTCTCACCTTCTTATTTCACAGCAATACACTTACCTGAGGGGTGGAAGAACTGAGAGGACTGAAGAATTTGTTTGTTAGTGGGAAGGATTGCTGTCCATTTGTAGCTCAGAGCTGCCAACTCTTAAGAAAAGGAAAGTGGGGGCATGGTAGTGGCAAGTAGCATGATGCTACTAGAAATAGTTTTGGATGATATATGATATTTTTAGACATGACTAGCCAACATAACTAGCTATACCACATTTCCACATTGATAGACATCCGTTTTGACTTGAAAAATTATGTGTAAGTCTTAAATTATAACAAGTATGTTTAGTAAATTCAACAGACATACACAAACTACCTATGTTCTTTAATAAAAAGATTTCTTTATTCATATGTTCTAGTACAGTTAATCTCTGTTACATTTTTCTTAGGAAGCTATAGATATGCCCATAGATGCATTGTTTTTAGCTATCTAGTTAACTTGACCCCATAGAGTTAATTCAGGCTCCTTTTCCATCCCTCCATATTGAGTTGGCTGAAGCAATTTGTTAGTTCAGAAGAGGTGATTTTTTTTTTTTAAAACCAAGAGAGTGGTTCTGAAGAGGTTTAAGTGGGAGCAGGAATTTCACTCGCGGGTAGGATCTGGAATGAGTCAGTCAAACATGTTTCAGAAGTGAAGGACACTGATAGGCCTGAAGGGTTTAGGATACACAGGAAGAACATTACAGCCCCCAACAAGGTTTATGTGTTCATCTACCTGGTCACACCCTCTGTATTCACTGAGGATGTTAGTATCTAGCTCATATCTTCTCCATTGCAGCTCCTGCCACAGGCTGAATTGAACATCTCTATGAAGAACTTGTCCAATACTCTACCTTCCTGATTCTCCTTCAGTGACTCTGTGTCCATTGTCTTCAGCAACTCACACTCCTAGGTATCCCTTAAAACTTGGCATTGTCTGGAGCCACACTTTCAATTGACCTTTCTACATGTTGGAAATTTTTTAACTGCCCTGTCCAGTATGGTAGTCATTGCAAGTGAAATATTACCTCATACTTGTCAGAATGGCTATCATCAAGAAATTAACAAGCAACAAGTGTTGTCGAGGATGTGGAGAAAAGGGAACCCTTGTGCACTATTGGTGGGAACACATTATGGTGCAGCCACCATGAAAAGCAGTATGAGGTTACCTCAAAAAATTGAAGATGGCCTAGCCATTGTTGCTCAGTGGTTGAGCATCAACTCAGGAACCAAGTGGTCACTGGTTCAATTCCCAGTCAGGGCACATGCCTGAGTTTTGGACTCCCCCTTGTGGGGGAGTGCAGCCAATTAATGTTTCTCCATCATTGATATTTCTATCTCTATCCTTCTCCCTTCCTCTTTCTTTAAAAAATCAACAAAACATTTA